TGGATGGGGATGCCCAGGGAAGGGGGGGCTGATCCCCTGGGAAGGATGGATAGGGATGCCATGGGAAGGATGGATGGAATGCCCAGGGAAGGGGGGAAATGTTCCTCAAGGAAGGGTGTGTGGGAATGCCCCAGGGAACGGTGGATGGGAATGCCCAGGGAAGGGGGAGCTGCTCCTCAGGGAAAGGTGGATGGGGATGCCCAGGGAAGGATGGATGGTAGTGCCCAGGAAAGGGTGGATGGGAATACCCAGGGAAGGGGGGGCTGCTCCTCAGGGCAAGGCGGATGGGGATGCCATTGAAGGGTAGATGGGAATGCCCAGGGAAGGGGGGCTGCTCCTCTGGGAAGGGTGGATGGGAATGCCCAGGGAAGGGGGGCTGCTCCCCTGGGAAGGGTGGATGGGAATGCCCGGGGAAGGGTGGATGGGAATGCCCGGGGAAGGATGGATGGGGATGCCCAGGGAAGGGTGGATGGGAATGCCCAGGGAAGGGTGGATGGGAATGCCCAGGGAAGGGTGGATGGGGATGCCCAGGGAAGGGTGGATGGGGATGCCCGGGGAAGGATGGGGATGCCCAGGGAAGGATGGATGGGAATGCCCGGGGAAGGATGGATGGGGGTGCCTAGGGAAGGGTGGGGGCTGCTTGGCAGGAAAGGTGCCCAGGGATGGGCAGGGAAGGGTCAGCGCTGGTGCCCACGCGTGATCCCGGAGCGGCTGAATCCCGGGCACGGCTTTGGGAAGGGAATGGGAAGCTGGAGCTCCCTCTGCTGGAGGAATCCGGGCAGGTCAATAGGGAAAAGGAAAACCCCGGGACACGTTTCCCAGCAGCGGGTTGGACATGAGCAGGAGTAGGTCTGGAGAAATGCCCTTTTTTTCCCTTTCTCTTTGCATTTGATGTCTCCTCAAAAGCCGCTCACTGGGTGCCCGGGGGTTGGGATCCAACTGGAGGCACCTCGGGGTGCAGCCCTGGTGGGTGCCCTGCTTGGCTGGGGAGGCTGGGGGGCTGTGCAGGGTGGGATCCAGACCAGTTGTGAACTGGGGAAGAAGGTGGTTGAACAGAGTTTCTGTCTCCTTTGGCTGGGGGGGCAATAATCCCAAACCTGTGCAGGGCTGTTTGTGGAGGTATTTTAGGCTCCAGGATTGGTAAGATCTGGTGTTATTTGGAGTGCTTTGGTTCTTGAGGAATCTGAGAAAGTAGATCCTGAGACAAAGTCCTGGAAAGGTGTGGATTGTGTGGGAGTGGGAGTCCCTGAGCCCCTGCAGCAGAGCCTGGGTACAAGGACAACCTACCTGGAGTCTCAGCACCCAGGACCTGGCTCTGGAGGTCTCAGCAAAGCTCCTGGTGTAGGAATCCAACTGACCTTCTGAATCCAAGGTTGGGTTCCAGATTTTTAAAAGTTCTCAGTGTCAATATGAAGAGGGAGCAGTTGGGTCCCCATGCTGCTTGGGGACAGCCAGTTCCTGCTGGAGCAGGGAGTGTTTGACTGTCCCAAAGTGCCTGTGAAGAAGGATGCAGACAGAAACCAGAAGAGCTCAAAAAGCCACGACCCCAAATCATTTGTTTGGATTCCAGCAAATCTTTGGGCCTTCTTGGTTTAAATCGGACGACTTGGCCAAGGGGAAAGGACTCCAGTGGTGCTTTCCCACTCAGATCTGTGCCAGAGCTGTGTCATAATCATGTATAAATAATGTATGTGTATCAGGGGCTGAAAAAGAGCCCAACCCCTAAAAACCTCTCTGAGCTTCTGCTCCTTTCCCACCACAGGTGCCCTGTCCCCCCAGGACACGTCGCTCCACGTGGACGGGGCAGCTCCAGGAGGTTGCAGAGCCCAAACCTTCAGCTCCTGCCTCTCCTCCCCACCTGCCCAAGCTGCAGTGGCAGCTTTTCCCTGGCTCTCCTGGCACCTGTGCTCCTGGAGCCACCAGCCCCCTGCCCCATCCGCCGCAGCGGAAGCCGCCCGGGAACGCCGGGGTCCCCACCGTCCCACCAGGCACCTGCAGCAGGACCTCTGCAGGGAGGGCAGGGGCTCCCCAGTGCCCAGCTGGGGGTTGGTAACCTCCTGTGTCCCCTCTGGGCAACCAGGTGTTGAACAGAGTTGGTTGGAGCAGAGGGAGGTTGGAGGAGTGAGGAGCAGTGGGTGAGGTTCTTGTCCAGAGGGGCTGATCTGAGCTGCTTTGGTGTGTAGGACAGCAGGGTCACAGGGTCAAGGACTGGTTTGGGTTGGAAGGGACCTTCAAGATCATCCAGTCCCACCCCCCTGCATGGGCAGGGACACCTCCCACCAGCCCAGGCTGCTCCAAGCCCCATCCAACCTGCCCTTCAACACTGCCAGGGATGGGGCAGCCACAGCTTCCCTGGGCAACCTGGGCCAGGCTCTCCCCACCCTCACACCAAAGAATTCCCTCATGTCCACGGACAATCTCCCTCTCCCAGTTTCAATCCATCCCCCTCATCCCATCCCTCCCTGCCCTTGTCCCAAGTCCCTCCCCAGCTTTCCTGGAGCCCCTTCAGGCACTGGAAGGTGCTCTAAGGTCTCCCTGGAGCCTTCTCTTCTCCAGGCTGAACACCCCAACTCTCCCAGCCTGGCTCCAGAGCAGAGCTGCTCCAGCCCTCCCAGCATCTCCGTGGCCTCCCCTGGAGCAATGGGCTGTGCCAGGGGGAATGCCATTGCCCTGGTAGCTGAGTGTGACATTTCCTCTTCCTTTTCCCCCATGTGGAAGGGCAAGGACTGATTTATCTGCACACATGACTCCTGGGCCTGTTCTCTCCTTCTGGGTGATGTTTTTTTCCTCCTTTGAAGTGCAGTCACTGGACCTGTCCTCTAGGTTCACAGCTGATCTGAGCCTGAGAGCAAAGCTTGCAGGAGGAGCAGAGGTGAGGCTGGGGGAGAACAGCCCAGCTGGAGGACCAGGCTTTGCCAGGAATGGAGCTTGTCATTGGTGGCCTGAGCAGCCCTGAGCAGTGCAGAGCAAACAGCCCCCGAGTGCAGCTGGTGAAGAGCAGAGGCAGCATCACCCAGGAACCTCTGGATGGGCAGAACTGGGATGGCAGGGAAGGAACAGGGAGGGAAGCACCTACTCATCTGATTTTTGGGCGACAGAGCTGAAAGGTCCCCATGCACTAGTCACAGTGAAGGTGGCTCCTCAGATCTGCTGTCAAGCAGCTTTCTGCAGGGCTGGGCAGTCAGAGGAGCCTTTGTCTGCTGGGTCTGCTGCCCTTCAGGCTTTTCTGGGTGCTGGAGGTGGGTTATTCCTCTGCTGTGGAGGTTGGCTGTGCTGGGAAGGGTTTTCTTAGTGCCAAAGAGTTGGTTTCTCTGCTGGTTGTGAACCAAGTTCCCCTAAAGTAGTTGCTGCTTTGGGATGGTTTTGAGAGAGCAGGAGGGATCCTTCCTGCCACCCCTTCTCATGCTGGCCTTTGCTGCTGTGATCTTTGCTTTCTTCCAGTCCCAACCAGTGCCTCAGGTGGTGCAAGTGGTGTGGAGACCCCTCCCCTGGGGACAAACCCTCCCCTGGAGACCCATGACCTGGAGTTCCTCCCACAGAAGGTGATGCTGGGGATGGGGATCCCTGTTCTGGTCTGAGCAGCCAAACCCTGGCTGTGTGTCCAGCCAGGTGTCCCAGCAGGGTGTCACCAAGCTGGGGGGCTGCTGGGGAACAGAGGACACAGGCAGGGTGGGAGGTGGGGAGCCAGGGCAAGCAGATCCATGGGGGTTGGTGGCCACAAGTTGGAGCAGACAGCCCTTGTGTCTCCATAGCCAGAGAGTGACAAACAGCACCAGTGATCTGCCTGCAGGGTGAAAAGCTGCTGCAGATGGAGAAGGAAATGGGAAGAGAATCCAAGCAGAAAGGTGCAGTGGTACAGGCTCTGCAGGAGGAGGTTGCAGCCATGGCCAAGGCACTGGCTCAGGTGGCAGCAAGGAACGAGGTGGAGCTGACCCAGAAGCTGCTCAGCTTCAACAGAGAGCTGGGAGCCAAACAGGAGGAGATCAGGGCCTTGAGGAAGCAGGTATGGGACACTTGGAGAGGCAGCAAGCAGGGAAAACTCCTCTGAGACAGGGGGGTGTCAGGTCCAGAGCCAGGTTACAGCAGGAGCTGGTCACACGTCTGAAACCCAGAGAAATGAGGGAGGGTTTGAGGGAGCTGGGGGTGTCCAGCCTGGAGACAAGGAGGTGAGGGGAGACCTGCTGGCTCTGCAGCTGCTGAGAGGAGGTTGGAGCCAGGGGGGTCGGGCTCTGCTCCCCAGGAACAAGGGATGGGACAAGAGGGAACGGCCTCAGGTTGTGCCAGGGGAGGCTGAGGTTGGATCTGGGGAACAATTTCTTCATGGAAAGGGTTGTCAGGCCCTGGCCCAGGCTGCTCAGGGCAGGGGGGGGAGTCCCCACCCCTGGATTTCAAAGCCCTGTAGATGTGGTGCTGAGGGAAACGTTAGTGGTGGCCTTGGCAGGGCTGGGTTAAGGGCTGGACTCAGTGATGACCCCGTTAGCAGCTTCATCCAGCCCTGCAGACTCCAGGCATGGCAGAGAGCAGCAGGCAGGGCTTCTCCAAGGCTCTTCTTTTGGGATTTGAGCATGAATGAGCCCAAAAAAAGATGTTCCCATCTAGAACAAAGACCTGCTGAGAGTTAGTCAAGGACTCTGAAGAGTCACCCCATCAGGTGCCCTGGGAGAGCTCAGGTTCTGAGCCAAAGGGGCTGTTGTGGAACAATTCCCTGGTGTCCTAGGAACATGGGGGGGTTCTCTGACTTGCAGCTCAGCCTCCTGCAGGAAGGCTCCAGCCAGATCTTCAGCCATTCCCTCTCCAAAAGAGACCTGGAAATTGGGAGGCTGCAGCAGGAAAGTGAGAAGCTGAGGAGGGATCAGGTGGTGGCTGCAGGTATTTGTGTCCCTGGAGCTCCATGTCAGGGCATGGAGCAGTTTGGGGCTGGTTCTTGACAAGGGCTGAGCTTTGGCAAACCTGGCCAGGCAGCAGAGGGTTTGTAGCAGCACGTAGACCTTGTCCTGCCTCTGGTTCTCTGTCCCAAATGTCTGGGGGAGCTGCAGGCAGAGTGTGACATGACAAGTGCCCCTGGTGTGGGGACTGAAGGCAGAGAGGGGTGGGAGGGGGAAGTTTCTTAGGGAAAAAAGCCTCAAGCACCAGTTCCAGGGCAGTTCCACTGGGGGGACCTGCCCTGCAAAGGCCACCTCTGACCACAAACCTCTTCCAGTGGCCTTTACCAGGCCCAGGAATGTACCCAAAGCACTGGCCTCTGTCACACATTCAGGGCAGCAAAAATGCTCTGCTTGACTTCATTGCCCCAGAGGAGGGAGCAGGTGCTGGGCAGGGAGGAAGCACCAGGTCCCTGAGTCTGATCTGGAGGAGCTGCTCATCTCCAAGGATCCTGGGCTGTAGATCCCAAGGAACTTGTTAGTGATGCTGGCAAGGAGAAGTGTCCAGCACGACGTGTCCAAAGCTGGACCTGCTCACCAAGGGTGATGGGTGTCCAAGAGGGAGGATGGGCTGGAGCAGGGATGCCCGTGGGCAGCCCCTCACCCCAGGTGTTTGTCTCAGGGCTGGTGAGCAGCCTGCAAAGGGAGGTTGCCAGCAAGGAGCAGAAGATCCAGCAACTCAAGCAGGATGTTTTCAAAATGAAGAAGGAAACCAGAGAAAAGGAGGAGCAGCTGGTGATGGTGTCTGCCAAGGTGAATGGTCTGGATGAGGGGCTCAGGAACTTATGGCCTCATGTATGGATTAGGGTGGGAGATGAGGATGAGAAGAGCCATGTTCCTCTGCTGAGGGTGGCAGCAGCTGTTGGTGTGGCTGGTTCTCTGGGAAGTTGTAACCCAAGGGTCCTGGCTGCACCCAGAGCTGTGCTGGTGGGATGGAGCTGCCACCGTGTCCAGGTGCCTTGAGCTGCCTGTGACACCACGTCCCTGTCCCCATCCCTGTCCTGCATTCAAGGCCTGGCTGCCCTGGGTGTCCAGCAGCACAGCTGCTGAGTGTCAAGATCCTCCTGAGGAGCCATGGAAGCCCTCTCTGTGCCCAGCCCTGCCAGGTTCCTGCCTTCCCTTCCAGCAGGTGTTTCCTCTGGAATTGCAGCTCCCTCCTGGATGGGCAGGTCACCATCCCTGGGTGTGTTTCAAAAATGTACAGATGTGGTGCTTTGGGAGATGGTCTTGGGGTTTGAACAGTGTGGCCTTGATGGTCTTGGAGGTCTTTCCCAACCTAAATGATTCTATGGACTCGACGTTGGGCATCATAGAAGGTGTCAGGGCTGGAGCAGCTCTGCTCTGGGGACAGGCTGGGAAAGTTGGGCTTGCTCAGCCTGGAGAAGAGCAGGCTCCATGGTTGGTGAGGTTTGTGTTCCTGTGCTGCAGCTGGAGTCCTTCAAAGCCCAGGTGATGGGAGCCTGTGGTCCAGCAGCAGCCAGAGGGGCTGGGAAGGCTGTGAAGGAGCAGGAGGTGAGTCTGGACAGCAGCTCTTGGAGAAGCTCAGTGACTCCAAAGCCCAGACGAGCTTGTGCTGGGAGCTGCAGAACCACTGGGTGCTGCAGAATGGCCACAGCACCCTGCACAAGGGGTGCTTGCAGCATCCAAGCTTCTCCAAGTCGTCATCTGGCAGCCACCCCAGGTAATGACTCTGCTCCCTGAGGTGTCACAGACACGATTCTCCTTGTCCCTCAAAGTTTGGGTGGAGTCACTGACCTGCAGTGGGGAGCAGCCCAGGAGCCCAACCAGCTTCAAGTCCCAACCCTTGCTTGCTGAGACCATCTGTGGTCCCCCAGCAGAGAAAAGGTGTTGATCTAATGCTTCTTTCTCTCCTTCATGTGCTTTTGCCAGGTGATGGAGAAGGTCAAGCAGATCTTGGAGGAAAACCAACAAAGCTGTGTGAGAGAGAAGCAGCTGCAAGAGGAGCTGAGCTCCAGGCTCTCCAAGGAAAAGGAGGTGTCTGCAAGTGTTGAGGTGTTGGAGAAATCCCTGCGTGAGCTCCAGGTCAGTCCCTTAAACACTGTTGCCCAGTGTTGGAGCCAGGGTTGCCCCGTGGCAGGAGATGAGGGCATTGCTTGGGTCTGAGGGTGGCTCAGACAAAGAGATACTCCTGTGCACCCAGACCAGCAAGTGTGTGGCTCCCCAGCTCAGCCAGAGCCCCCCAGAAGTACAGATGATGTAGGTTGGGAAGAGCTGGGATGTGTCCCAGAGGTGTCCTCCCCTGGGCCTGCCTAAAGTATTGGTGCATGGGGTGAAGGGTTGTGCCAAAGTGCTGGTGGAACCCAGGACTGTGTCAGAGATGTGGGGTTGTGTGCCAAGCCCCAGCAGCCCCACTGCCCATGGAAAGCAGCAGGTTGACTGGCTGTATCTCCTCCAGGTGTCCCTGGGGAGCTCCTGCAGCAGCCTCAGCCTGCGAGGGGCCCTGGGGGGGCTGGGGGCAGTGAGCCTGGACCCCTCCATCTCAGCCATCAGGGACCTGGTGGTGCAAGTGGCAGATGTTCCCCTGGCCTGGCTGGAGGGCTTGGAGAAGCTCCTGGCCAGTGCTGGGATGGACCCACACGCCTCTGGCAAAGGTTGGTGTGTCCTTCTGGGTGTCCCTGAGAACAAACCTGCTCCAGGCAGGATGTCCTAGCAGAGAAGAGAAAGCCCAGGAAGAAGGCACTTGCCTGGGGACCTCAGGACCCCACTTTGGTGCAAATTTGGGGCAGTTTGGGCAACTGAGGAACCTTAGAGGAGAGAGAACCTCCAGGAGCAAGGCTTGCAACTCACTGCACCTGCCCAGACTAAACACAGCAGGCAAGGAGTGAGAGGTCCTTGGTGTGGGGCTCCTCTCTGGGCTGGGCTGGTCCCTCCTCCTCCTCCCTGTTGCCTGTGGAGGAACATGAACCTTCACCACCAGGGGAGGAGGGTGGGGGGGCCAGGGCAGCAATTCCCAAACTCAGTTTTGCCAGAAGGCTGGAGGAACATCTAAGGATGCTCCGGGGGTATCCTGAGCATCCTGCAGAGCAGGAGGCTGTTGGCTTTTCAGGGGTGTTGGCTTCTCTGGGGACCTTGTTGGAAGAGAATCAGGAAAGCACTCAGAGGAACCAGGTGTTGCAGGTACAGGGGTGTGTGTGTGTGTGTGTGGGTGTGTGTGTAGGTGTGTGTGGGGGTGTGTGTGTGTGGGTGTGTGTGTAGGTGTGTGTGGGGGTGTGTGTGTGTGGGTGTGTGTGTAGGTGTGTGTGGGGGTGTGTGTGTGTGGGTGTGTGTGTAGGTGTGTGTGGGGGTGTGTGTGTGTGGGTGTGTGTGTAGGTGTGTGTGGGGGTGTGTGTGTGTGGGTGTGTGTGTAGGTGTGTGTGGGGGTGTGTGTGTGTGGGTGTGTGTGTAGGTGTGTGTGGGGGTGTGTGTGTGTGGGTGTGTGTGTAGGTGTGTGTGGGGGTGTGTGTGTGTGGGTGTGTGGGTGTGTGTGGGTGTGTGTGTGGGGGGGTGTGTGTGGGTGTGTGAGTGGGTGTGTGTGGGTGTGAACGGAGTTGACTGGGAATGTTTCAACTGGAAAACACCACGTGTGGGACCTGGTCAGGGACCGTGCACAGGATGTTTGTGTCTTGCTCCTGGAACCCCTCAGCAGTTCCCTGTCCCTGCAGGACCAGCTGCAGAGGGTGCAGGGCTCTCAGGAGGTTTTGCTGCAGGAGCTGGAAGCGAAACACGAGCGAGACCTGAGGAGGAAACTCCAGGAAATCGTCTTGGAAAAGGACAAGGAGCACCAAGAGGTGTGGTGGGATGGTTGCTCTTCAGGAAAATGACAATCCCTGTCAGTCCCCTCCCTCCCTGGGGTGTCTGCCAAGGTCTTCTCCCCTGCTCCCCAGCAGCCACTCCCAGGTGTTCTCACTGGGATCCAGCTCCTCTGCCAAATGCTTTGATTTTATCTGCACGGAAACCTTGGGCTGTCAATCCCCAGATCCTGGAGAGCACTCTTGCCAAGGAGAAGGACAAGTGCAAGCAATCCCTGGAGGAAGAACAGAAGAAGGTCCAAGACCTGGAGAACCACCTGAGAAGCATGGCTGAGGTCAGTGGCCTGCACGGGAGGTGAAGCAGAACAACTCACCCTTGGAATGGTTAAATCTGGCAGCTCTGGAGATGGATTCTCCCCCAGAAGGGCTGTCAGGCCCTGGCCCAGGCTGCCCAGGACAGGGGGGAGTCCCCATCCCAGGAGGGAACTCCAAGCCATGTAGATGTGATGCTGAGGGACATGTTAGTGGTGGCCTTGGCAGGGCTGGGTTAATGGTTGGACTTGGTGATCTCAGAGGTCTTTTCCAACCTAAGCACTTCTCTGGTGGCCCATTTGGCCCGGGGCTGTCAGGGGACCACTGGTGGGCTTATTGATCCCCCCCAAAAAACACACAGAGTTGCCTCCCTGAAAAGAGGAGGGTGGGTTGTTGGAAGCTTGGTCACTTCTCAGGTTCTGCTCCTTTCCTTGTGTAGGTGGTGGAGAGGAAGGCAAAGGAGCAGGAGGCTTCAGCTTGGAAGCTGGAAGAAGCCCTGCACAAGCTGGAAGAAGCCACCAGGCAAGAGGTAGCTCCAGCAACCCCTTTGTGCAGGCAGGGGATGTGGGGTAGATGTGGTTTTGGTGCAAAAGGCTTCCCAGGTCCCTGCTGAGGAGGGGCCAGAACATCGTGGCCCTTCCCCTCCCCTCCATTCTTCTGTCGTCAAGCCAGGAGAGATGATGCTGGTCATGATCTCCCAGGAAAACACCTGCATCCAGCTGGGAGAACATGTCTTGTTTCCTAGATCACCCTGCAGCAGAAGGTTCTTGTGGGACAGGAGCAGCTCAAGACCATCCAGGAGGAGAAAGAGCTTCAGAGGCAGGAGCTGCAGGAAGAAATAATGGGATACAAGGAGCAAAACAAGCAGCATTCCCTGACAATTGTGGCTTTGGAGGACAGGCTGCTGGAGGCCAAGCAACAGCTGAAGGTGCTGGAGGAGGAAAAGGCAGAGCTGGTGGAGAAAATGGAAGGTAGTTATGGGTCCTGTGGGGTGAGTCTGTGTGGGAACCTTCTTGGTTAACGTGACGTTGCTGGAGTGGTGTCCTTGCTGCCATGGGAAGCATCGTGCCAAGGGTGAGCCTGGGGCTTTCCTGGGTGCAGGACAAGCTCTGGGAGTCCCTGGAGAAGACATTTCATGGGCAGCTGTTTGGTGGCTTTGGGGCCATGGTCATAGGCAGGGCTGTCCCATTGCTGAGGGGCTCGTTGCCCTCTGAGAGGTGCTGAGCAGAGGAGGGAGCAAGGAACTCCCTGAACACTTGGAGCTGAAGAGGTGGGTTTCCAGAAAAGGTGCTCCTCAGTGTCATGAAGGTGTCATGAAGGACAGGAGAAATGTAGCAGAAGGAAGTTGGCCCAATGTGGAACATAGAATCACAGAATGGTTTGGGTTGGAAGGGACCTTAAAGATCATCTATTCACACCCCCTGCATGGGCAGGGACACCTCCCACCAGCCCAGGCTGCTCCAAGCCCCATCCAACCTGCCCTTCAACACTGCCAGGGATGGGGCA